CAGCCACCATAACACTGATAGTTATATTATTACCAGTTCTTTCTTAATCACCCACCATAAGACTAATAGTTATATTATTACCAGTTCTTTCTTAATCAGCCACCATAACACTGATAGTTATATTATTACCAGTTCTTTCTTAATCACCCACCATAAGACTAATAGTTATATTATTACCAGTTCTTTCTTAATCAGCCACCATAAGACTAATAGTTATATTATTACCAGTTCTTTCTTACTTAGCAGTCATACTACTAACATATATGATTTTACTATTTCTTTCTTACTTAGCTTGTCATAAGACTAGTAGTTATATTATTACCAGTTCTTTTTTTATTTAGCCGTCATAAGACTAGTAGTTATATTATTACCAGTTCTTTTTTTATTTAGCCGTCATAAGACTAACATATATGATTTTACCAATCTTTCTTATTTAGCAGTCATAAAACTAACATATATGATTTTACCAGTTTTTTCTTATTTAGCCATCAAAATATTAATCATTACTTTTTTACTAGTTCTTTATACTTAGTCACTTGTTACCAGTTTTTGTCTTTTTTACGTAACACTATTATTTCTGCATGATTTAGATTTTATTGTCTTAATCATATTCTAGCGAAGTAAAAAGTATCGAAAAAATAACATTTCGTAACAGTTACATGTTGTTTCTTCGCTAGAGATTTCTAATGAGAAAGTTTTCCTTATTCCAAAACCGTTTAGAGGCAGTAATAATAAAAATAATGGAATAAACTGGTTAAAGGCTATTAGCGTTTTTCGTAACTTTTAATTAAAGCTCAACTCTTGTCTTCAGTCTAGTGTTCCGGATGGTGGAATCAGAAGAGGAGTACGTTGAACAGCTACAGATAATGGTTTCGTGTTTCCTGAGGCCATTTAAAATGGCTGCCAGCTCCCAAAAACCGCCGTGTTCTCACGATGAAGTGAATTCGATATTCCTAAATAGGTGAGGATACAAACCGAAATATTCGTCCGTAAAATATATAAAAATATGTTTTTATTTCAAGTCTTGTTCAAACAGGATTATCTTGAGTTTTTTTTAAAGACAATAGTAACGATCTGTAACGTTTCAAATGATCAGCGAAACCAAAATTATCCATATAAAATTCAGTTACTATTAAACGTTCATGTAACATAACATTTAACGATACTTTTTGTAACACTTAAACTAAATTTTGTGTAATTAAATAGCAATTTCTTGAAACTATTTTCACTGTCTTAACGATTATTGTAAAATTGTTCAATTCTTGAGATTTACAATATATATACTAGGTATTGAATTCAATGCTTAAATATGCATTAGGCAAGTTTATAGCTACTAAAACCTAATGTTTACCATGAAAATAAAATGATTCACACGAACAATTTTCATAAAACTGTATATATATCTTAATTCAATATCACCAATACTTTTCCGTAGTTTTGAAGTTTTAAGTCTTATGAAAACATTCAAATAATGAACAAATTTACGTATTTTCAAAATCTTTCTTAACAGATTAATCTCACAAATACACACGTTAATGGAGTACGTTGTATTCACTATGTTAGCTATGAAAGTTACACCAAATTTCTGGAGTTTACGTAAAATTACGGTAATTTTTCAAAAACATTTTACAATGATATCTTCTTGAAAAGCAAAAATTCAAAAATATTTGTCAATTATTTTTCCGTGAGTTTAAGAGAATTTTAAATTTTGTTACTACAAAAAGTACAAACACGTAATCCTTGCCAAATGTTTAAAAATCGAAGTTTCAGATACTCGAAAAAATATATTTTGATCTATTAATTTATTTTTACAAATTCAAAGAGGAAATCTCTCATTCAAAACGTTCTTCCAAATGTATATATTATGAATTACACCATTTAGCATACTTAATATGATCATTTAGGATAAATAAGTTTGTTGTTAATATTAATGTTTTTGGCGAAAAGTAATAATTTAGATGGCTTAAGTCATCTTAACGAGAAACATTTTTTGAATTATTTTTAGCGAGTTTTATTTCAAAGACACATAAGGATGAAAAAAAAAAACGTTCAAATATTACGAGCTCTAAGGAGAAGATAGTTTCACGGTAATCCTTCTTACAGGATGTGTTACCCGCCCAACATGCCATATGAGTTACAAGTTTCTTGTTTAATATACTTGATACATAACTTATAAACTAGAAAACAATCTAGTTTTTTTTTTCAATTTCCTTGAAAGATCAAAAAGACCTGATTACATTTACACCATAATCCACCATGATTGAAACCTATACACTCTCGTCTAGACAGTGTGCACCACCACACGGACTCACTTATGATCACTGGATGTAATATTTTTCATTGATGATAACGGGATGTAATATTTTTTTCACTAATGATCATGGATGTAATATTTTTTCACTGGTGATCACGGAATGTAATATTTTTTCACTAGCGATCACGGGATGTAATATTTGTTTCACCAGTGGTCACGGGATGTAATATTTTTTCACCAGTGGTCACGGGATGTAATATTTTTTCACTGATGATAACGGGTTGTAATATTTTTTTCACTAGTGATCACGGGATGTAATATTTTTTCACTGATGGTAACGGGTTGTAATATTTTTTCACTAGTGATCACGGATGTAATATCTTTTTCACCGGTGATCACGGAATGCATCATTTTTTGTTTTTGATGATCACGGGATGTAATATGTTTTCACTGATGATCACGGAATGCATTTTTTTACTTATGATCACGGGATGTAATATGTTTTCACTGATGATCACTGTTTGTAATATATGATTTACGTATATACATATTTCCTACATTTTAAAAGTGAATCGGGCTGTTAGCTACAGTAACTATTTCGAAATTTCTAGCTTACTATCTGAAAATATGTGTGTTTTGAAGACTTACATTATAAACAATATACTTAAACAGTTAAAAACAAATTTTTAAAACAGCCTGTAATTTACACTCATTGAATAATTCGACTTTCTCTAAATTCTCACTAAATGTGAAATATTTTGGGTTACGCTATTTATATAAACATAATTTCATCTCAGATACGTTTGTGGAAAAGAAGGAAAGAGATTACCAAACAAATTATGACACATTTTCATGGAAAGCATTAAACGATCCAAGATTTCATAAATAAAGCGGTTATATCTATTTTACGCGCACAACTTGTACTTTTTTTTACATGTATTATAATAGCAGCATCTTCATTTTATTTATTTATTTATTTTTTTTACAGCGAGACCATTATGTTTCTGCACCAGATATTTTTAAAAGGGTTGATATCCCGAATGGAAAGCTGGCCTACTCTAGTTCTGGGTGAGTTATTGCATGTTTTGACAAATTTTAAATGTTCATAAGAAAACCAAATATTTCTCGGTCTATTTCAGCAACATTTTTGGGGTAAGAAACACAGATTAACAATTGTGTTATCCTGTTAAGGTTAACCAAGGATGTTAGAGCTTCCGTTATTTAGGTTAGTATATGTTTTATTGTTTGTTTGAAGTTAAGCACAAAGCTACACAATGGGCTATCTGTGCTCTGCCCACCACGGGTATCGAAACCCGGTTTCTAGCGTTGTAAGTCCGCAGACATACCGCTGTGCCATTGGGGGCGATATATATATGTTTTATAGCTTTTGAAGAACCGATCTTTGAGTAGTGTCTTAACAAAGAAAACACTAACGTTTTTTGCCTATACCAACGCTGCTGGTTACTATTATGATAAAATATATACATGTATACACTCTCACGTACATATATATATATATATATATATATACATAGATATGTATGTGCATGTATGGGATATATGCCTCCCAATGGCACAGCAATCAGTCTGAGGGTTTATAATGCTAAAAACCGGGTTTCGATACCCGTGGTTGGCACAGCACAGATAACCCATTGTGTAGCTTTGTGCTTAACAAACACAAACAAATAAAATATATATATATTAATATTAATTTTTAAGCACAAAAAAAATAATTGATATAATCCGCAAATATCTACTTTCACCTCCACTAGGTGGATGTAACTAAACAACAACTGATAACTGATGATAAAAACATAAGCTGGCAATAAATAGTTGAAGTCAATATAAGTAGGTTTACAAATATTCGCCAAACGTTATTTGGTCAGTAATACTTTAAAAACATTATGTTATCAATATTCGAAGCAGTCGGCTTAATAAGAATTGATAATTGATAATAACTTAGGTAAATATCTGCTATCAAAAAAAGTTCAGTAAGTATAAATGTTCAAAATGAGTAAAATAATTTAACCTTGGTTTGCTTCAGCAAAATTGTTTCACGTTTTTTTCATTTGTCGTTAATAAAGTTAATGACATCAAACTACTTTGCAACATAAATATTTGTCGTTAATAAACGTAATGACATCAAACTACTTTGCAACATAAATATTTGTCGTTAATAAACGTAATGACATCAAACTACTTTGCAACATAAATATTTGTCGTTAATAAACGTAATGACATCAAACTACTTTGCAACATAAATATTTGTCGTTAATAAAGTTAATGACATCAAACTACTTTGCAACATAAATATCCAGTAAGATTAATTTTTTTCGTAAATTACATAAAGTTTAAAACTCATGTAATAGGTAATATATTTTGCTTTTATTCTTAAAGAATGTACACTAAATTTATGGAAGGGAACTGAAGGACTTCTTTATCTTTATATGCTTTTATAGTAATCAATGGCCGCCAGTTGATATAAAAAAACACAAAAAAGACCATAGTTAGTTTAACCTCAAAGGTATTTTGAAAAAAGAAACATACGTTTTTCGAAAAGTCGAAAACGAAATCGTGATATATGTGCCACTGAGGATAATGTTTTTCCTTGTGATACTTAACTTACGGCTTGGTGCTTTCATGCGAGTTTTAGTAAGGTAAAAAAAAAAATCATGTAATTTAGCTAAAACTAATGTTAATTACAAATTTAAAGCTATAATTAATCAATTTCCAAATCCTTAAATTAACAGTGATATCGTCGTGGGAATAATTAATGTGGATAATCCTATGGGTTTATAGTGCTTATTTTCCATGCACATGATTTATATAAAGGCTAGTTAACGTTTTCGATTGTCTGTATCATTTACATTATCGACCACTAGAGAAGTGAATGTTTAATTGTGAATATTTGAAAGCTTATAACAGTAATACGACAGTAAATTTGTTTGTTTGTAGTTAAGCCCAAAGCTACACAAAGGACTATCCGTGCTCTGCCCACCACGGTTATCGAAACCAGGTTTTTTTAGCGTTGTAAGTCCGCAAATATTCCACTGTGCCACTGGGGAGTACGGCAGTAGAGCACAGTAGGTCAATAAAACGTTCAATAAATAGCTATTAGAAGGTGGGGGGTTGATTTTAAGTGAACGACAATTATTTGTAATTAGATGGCTTTTAAAAGGCAATTTATTTCAATGAACGTTTAATGAAATTTTTGTTGTTTTTTGATGAAGAAAGAGAAGTAACCTCTTCATGAAACAAACAACAACAGGAAGACTATGATGTATCACTGACTTAATAAATTAACAACAACCCGACAACATGAAGACTATGGTGTATCACTGACTTAATAAATTAACAACAACCCAACAACATGAAGACTATGATATATCACTGACTTAATAAATTAACAACAACCCAACAACATGAAGACTATGATGTACCACTGACTTAATAAATTAACAACAACCCAACAACATGAAGACTATGATATATCGCTGACTTAATAAATTAATGGTGTTTTGGCCGAGCATTTGCTTGTTTGTTTCTTGTTAAGTACAAAGCTATACAATGAGCTGTCTGTGCTTTGCTCACCATGGGTACCTAAACCCGGTTATTAGCGTCATAAGCCTTCAGTCTTAACCACGAACCACTGGCAGGTGTTGCAAAGAAACGACATACTGTTTACGCTTTTATTTAAATTTTAAAATCATTCCTAATGAGTAAGAACACCGGACTGACATAAAATACTACATATGTTTGTCAAATAAAGGTTTTTAATGTGTTAAATATTACGTTTAATATTCATGCTATATTCTTTCATGCGAGATTTATTAAATACAATTTAATTTTGCCATTGTCACGTGCTCTGGTCATTTTTTTTTTCTAATGTATTTATTCTTGTGCTTTCCAGCCCTCTCACGTAATTTAAAAAGTTTCCACTCAAACGTCTCTACCACTATTACATAGAATTATGTTTAATTTCCGTTTTTTCGTAATTGTCTCATATGTTTTGCCTTTGCTTTGTCTGCTCAGCGATAGTGATAATTCTGTAATTTTTCCACTAACGCTTTGTTGCCGGGTAAACGCTACACTTTAATCTACTGGTTTCAAAAGCTGAAACTTTAATTATTTGGAAAATATGGCTTGAGCACGTGATGTTTCACATTCCACATCTGAATCAACGTTGTTTTCAACTTTTGAGGTGTTTATTGCATATAGATACCTAAACAAGTATAAATATGACTTTGCAAAGTTTTTATCATTTACTTACGTCATCATCAGGCATAAGAAAATAACGAAAATTAGGCTCAACAAAAAATACAAGATCAAAACAATGTTCTGATTGTGTCACGTAAGAACGATAATAAAATTATAGTGTTCCAACCACTACTATGTTTGTTGTGTCCCAGCAGACCTGAAGAGCTCTGGATTGAGTGAAATGCGTCGTCGGCAATGGATATGGTAAACATAGTGTGGTTAGAAAACTCTTCTAGCTTTTGAAAATCTCTAAGGAATGTACTGGTTAAATAATGTAATAGGCCTAATACTAATATCTTAACCAAGAATATTATTGACTACCTATAAACAGCATCAACGGAGGAATTTTTTAAAATAAACGTTCCATCCATAAAGTAATTAATTAGAATATAATTTTATCCAAAAAAACTGCTTCAAAGCAAATGAACCGTATAAAAATGCCGTGCTTTATTTAAAACAGGGGATCATCGTTATGGATAGACTTTTTTTGTAAAAGCGAAACAAAAACTATTGGGCCAAATTGATGGAGTGCTATGGGGGTTCTCACTGGTGTGATGACTGCGAGGGCACCTAGATCGGAAAAACTAAACGACATTTTTCTGACAACATCCATTAGCATGTGGGAGTATCTTTGAGGTCACGTAATATTCTTTTTTTTAAGTCCACCAAACTGTGCGATCCTAAATCACAGATGTGAAACTCAACATCCAATACCTCACTCAGAATACACCATTCTTTGTAATAGTAAATGCGATCTTCAAATGTTAATCAAAGAAAGTCCATACATAAAGCATATTTTAGATATAACACTTACTCCTTTTAAATAAAAATTATATATACAAAGGTGTTCATCAGAAAATTATTTTAACACAAATCAAATGAAGTGTATACGAATTTTATTTTTCCCTTCTACATTGATACTGTTTATAGATAGTTAATAATATTGTTGGTAAATTTTATTGTTGTTTGTGCTTCAGTCCACTCAGTGACTCAGCAGTAAGTCTGTCGACTTATCCCTTATTCATAAGAAAATACGAAAATTAGGCTCAACAGAAAATAAAAGATCGAAATAATGTTCTGTTCGTGTGTAGCAAGAATTTGTTTTTGTAATTGTTCGTTAAATTTCGCGCTACATTACTCGAAGGCTATCTGAGCTAGCCGCCTCTAATTTAGAAGCGACAGACAAGAAGGAATGCAGTTAGTTAACACTATACGCCGCCAATTTTTGAGATACTTTTTATTAACGACTAGTGAGATTGACTGTCACATTATAATGCCAACTACAGCTGAAAGGGCGAGCATGTTCGGTGGTGGAATTTGATCCCGCTACACACAGACTGCAAATCGAGTGTCCTAACTACCACGCCATTCCAGGCCTGAAAACATAAGCTACGCAATGGACTATCTGTGGTGTATGGAAACCCGATTTTTAGCGTTTGAACCAAGAAAAGAGCCGAAACGCTGCATAGCCATATTTATATATGCATATGCATTTATATGTAATATACATTTAACAAGCTGTAAAGAATAAGTTTCAATTTTTTTTTTGTAATTTATCAACGTTGTTGTCATACCTTATTACACCACTTTCAACAATGCGAGGTGACCTCACCAAACCATGTCTCAATCTTATTAAAGTACTTGTCGCCATCATGTTTCAGAGCTTTAATCTTCGTATTCTTAAAACCAAGTTATAACTTTTTTTTTGAAAAATTATTTTAGTGTCAGTGTGAGGAATATCTGATGTGAAATGTAAGTTATCTTGATGTACTTTTTAAACTAATTAAAATGCATTTTAATTAAAGATGCTTTGCAATCATGTACAAATGGTGTCAGGATTTAAAAGGAAACAATTTACTTTAAGGAGAAATGTGTTTGACAAGACCAGAAGACAATGACTGTAAAACCCACACACTCGGAGAAATCATTTACAAAATTAATAACCAGAATGGAAAGATGCAAGAACATAACAGCAACCCGAATAACTTCCTGGGATTCTAGACTAACTTATTTCAGCAGAGCGTCGGAGCATGCTTCTTAATTTCCTCCTCTCACAAAGAAAATAGAACGGAAATTATACACAACTCTAAATTTTTGCACGATGTATAATGCTCGGCAGCTTTCTCGTTTCGTTTATAAACTGAGAAACGGCTGTAACGAAAGCGAAAAATTTTGTCTTTGTCTCGAATAGATTGCTATTTAACGTGAGTGTGAAGATTATCAAGTGTTAAACTTGTGAACAATTATGTTATTCTTTACATTCTTTGCCACATTTTTTCAACGTAATGAAGCATCGATGTTTATTAATCTAAAGTAATAGTAACAAAAGCAAATAATTTGCAGCAGAGAAATCATTTCTAACAAAGCATAATTACCACACTGTTCCTACTTTTCTGTCATTTATCTTGGATGAAAATGTTAGCTTTATTCGTTGATTAAGTATTAAATAACGTTCTTGTTTCTTAAGAGTTAAAAAAACAAGAAAAATCAGCATTGTTTTTTAGCCTTTGTTTATTTATTCCCTCCTTAATAATTATTCTTATTCAACTATCTAAAGAACCTTCATAAGTAATATATATATATTCCTAATTTCTGTTTCCACTTTTGCTGTTTTTATCTCGTTCAATTGTTTTGTTTTCATTTTCCCAGATTTATTTCTTGCGTTCACTATAATGTTTCACATGTTAGCTGTGATTCCAGAAGTAAAGGTTTCAGGATCATAATGGCCCTGTTCTACCTGAAGTTTTCCTGGCCGTTATTTTACCATCACCGTGTACTATTTTGTAATGTTACACTCTCCTGAATACTGATATCAAACCACAACATTATCAAAGTACAGGAAATCGGATATTTTCTTACATAAAGTGATCCGTAGGATGAGATCTCTAGAATTACTTCCACTGATAAGAAGGAGTACATTCACATATACCAAGAACTAGGTGCATTACACTCACCCACCACAGATATAAGTTTCCATTGATCGGGAGGCGAGACTAAGATATGAAAAATCTCTAAAAAAAAACAAGAATTCCCGACAACTTGTAGGCAATGACAGCAGCAAAAAAGATATGAACATTAGCATAAAAAAATGTGTATCTTATTCTAAGATATGTCTTACAATGACTAAAATGGTGTAAAATTTTTTGCTTGATTATTTTATTAGCAGCATTATTTCATATCCTCTTATGTTTTTTATGAATAATTAATTTAAATATTTCTTTTTCTACCACTAACATTTTACAAATACTTCTTTTATGACCAGTACGCCCTCTAGTACTCAGACAGTTGTTTCTGTGTCACCAAATTATTTTCATGTCCCTTGCTGAAGAACACGATCGTAAATGTTTTATTGATTACAACACGTACGATAGTCCACTTAAAAAATATTTATCGATATTAGGATACAAAAAAATTTTACTACTTGACAAGATAGCTAACAGATATAAAATAATGCGAAAATATACCTTAGTCACGTTTTTTTGTTGCTTTTTTTACCAGTGTAAATATTAATTTGGCTTGAAGTGTTAATTTCTTATTCATACCAATTGCTTTTCAATGAAAAATTTATTTACGATTGTAATTTCGCACTAACGTTTCTTTTATTTTACTTTAAGGAGACCTTTTAATATCTATGGGTTCTTTTTAATGCATCTTTTATTCATGAACAAGATTCTATAAAGAAGGTTTTATATTCTTCATTAAGATTATTATTGTAAAGACTCCCCCTTACGGCTTCTTTTAAAACTCATTATATAATCAGGATTTTTTTTTTATTGCACTCTGCTAGGATTTGTTGCGTAGATAGTTAATGGCACTTGTGCTTCCATCTGGCGACAAAAGTATACACAACGGAACATATTAATTTTATAATATAGAATCGTTTTCTCAATGATACGCACATTTCTCCAAATAATTTCATTGCTCTTTAATTTACATAGTGTATGACATTTACATTTTATGGTTTGTTATTTCACGTGAACCTTTAGCTCTGAAACATGGTTTGTTCACGGGCAAATCTGTATAACAAAGTATTCAATTATATGTAATTTTAGATTAATGACGGCACCAGTTTAAGTAACCCTCATGATCGCTAGCAATATCTAACAAAGAGATGGAAAATTTTACATGAAATGTAGTTTTCTCACAAAGTATCGTTATTTAGTTGCTTATGTTTAAAACTTTTGTGGTGTTAAGGAGACTTGTTCGACATGCTGTTGCCAATGCTTACGATTTACCAAGAGTACGTCCGTAATCATCACTACACTCTACAAGTCCTAGCCGAATGCAAGCAAAGGGAAAAGTTCACTGCGATGCTCCGACGTTTAGAGGAAAAAGCAGTTCTACAGGGGAACGTCTTGGAGACTTTCTTGACTTATCCCATGCATCAAGTGAGGATGATGTTTTTTATCATAAAATTGCAATAAACTAGGACAAAAATTATTAACATTAAACTTGTAGCAGGCAAGGATAATAAATATTTTGAAAGCTCAAACGTTTTTACCAGCTCCATTGTAATTACCGTATATTTTCTATATTTTGGTATATTTTAACAGCTAAGCCTGACGAAGGCACATGCCCGGAACGTTGCTAATAAAAGAAGTTTTTTATTATAGACGTGTATTTTAACTTTTTACAATATATATCTCTGGCAACATTTGTCCCCATCGTGTGGTCTTTTTTTACAGCACACACACACACACATACACACATACATATATATATATATAAACATACAAACTGAGACTGTTTCTAATAATGTCTGTAGCCACAGGCATATCTGTGTATATGTGTAAAAACTGGAACTACGTTTTTTAGCATTCGTGATATCAGTCACATAAACTACGGGTGTTTCTCCTCCCACATTTCTCTCAATTTGTCCATTTCAAGTCCAAAATCCAAGGCGTGAAAAAATAGAATTTCAGATCTATCTTTTATTTCCCATAAATCGCTGCTCAAGAATTATTTTGTTCATTGCTAGAACTCATCAGTTAGGCTAAACGATGAGAGCCAAAATATGATATGAAGTGCTATTTATATAAACATTATAATACTTTAAACACCGCAATTTAAACGCCTAAAGCTGACGAAGTATTGTATTTCTAATCATTTCCATAACCACAACTAGATGTTACTAGCAGCAACATGAGATAGAAGAATCCTCGTGTATTCTAATTATTACTTAATAAGTACTTAACAAGCTTAATAAAATATTATTGCCGCAAATGTTTGTTGAAGAAAAAAAAATTGTTTTAATGTTTATTGTATTCGTTATTACTTGATTGATAACAAGAACAATATAAAATATAGTTAAAAAAATACACGTATGAGAGATAAGATCTTTTAAGCTTATTACTTATATTATGTTCATTAGCAGTAGAAAGTAAAACACAAACCAAACGTATATTCTTGTAGTAGAATGATTAGGCATGAGACAAATGCAAAATTTTCAAACCTTAAACCCGAATATTTATTAATAATAAGAAAATCTAAAATACATCACTGTATGCAATACTGTATTCAAAGTGTTAAAAGATTAAAAATAAATAGTGATTAATCTACAGAAAGTTATATAAATATTATATGTACAGTACTGGAAATTGTTGAAACAGTGAATGAAGTGGATATAAAATGCTAATATTACATGATTGCTCCTCTCACTATTTTACGAAAATGAGATACAAAAGAGTGCAGAGACAATTTGATAGTTTATATTGCGATTGGTTGTTATCCAACCACTCAGACACTGCCACACCAATATAATGTCTATATAAGTATAAACAGTTATCCTATATACAGAAGTAGTATAACGAGTGCACGCAGAATGCTCAGAATAGACATTCGATAGGAGAAACCTGCAGAAATCAAAGTTTTGGCAGGCAGGGCTACTCCATGCGACAGATTTAGACGAAATTTCATCCATCAGTAGGAACTGTATGGAAACTTTGAAGAGTATGTGAAACTAGTACAATTGATGATAGAATTAGTAAAAGTAGAAAGCCCAAACCCTTTAGAAAGGATATTAAGTATGTACTAAGGATGTAGAACGTTTTGAAATTGTGACAAACGATAACTTAATGATATATTAATAGGTGCAGGTGTGGATGATAGCTCCAGAACAAGAAGATATACATTAACTTTATGTGGTCTCAATCGAGTTGTAGCTGGTAAAAAACACTGCTTAGGAGAGATAAGCAAACCAAGAGGCCTAAATGAGTACCAGTTTTCAAACCATTAAGATGCATCCGAATTCCAATTGTTTGGCAATACATTGTTCCCTAGCTTACTTTACTATATATGTTGTATATAGACTGTGGCACCGTATTCCTATCTGCCAACAGAGAAACTAATGTTGATCAAGTGGACTGCATCTCAGCCAATGCTATTGAAAATATACACAAAATAAATGGAATCTTGACAAGCATATGCTTATTCGTCATGTCATTTCCTCAGGAAGACATGTTAGGAAAAGCTTTACGTTTCAGCAAAACAGCGATCCCAAGAATGCAACATATGTGGTGAAATGATACATGAAAGAAAATAAGCTGATAGAATACTCGTAACCATGATCTAGCCTACATAAAGTCCAGATATGAATATTATCAAGGCTGTATAGAATTATGTATGGAAACTGAGAAGGTCAAAAGGCAACCAAAGGAACTTGGTTTGATTGTGGTGAATAATACAAGTTATTTGAGATAATATTTCAAAACCTAACATTGATAAGGTTATGGTAGCATAAAATCAATATGTGTTGATCTATTTGTTTATATATATATATATATTGCAGTTAATTCTCATTTGTTTTGCAGTTTCTGTAATAATGTATTGCACAAAAACTGACCATCTAGTTACAATTATTCAATGTTTGTGGCACCTGTACGTGTATCACCTAAGCGTTTCCCTAAGTATTTCCAATACTTTATATAAATTAAGTATGGAACTTCTACTGTAAGTAACAAACCTTTACACTTACAAGTTCAGAATTTGTAAAACGCTATTAATAAGTTGTAAAAATCTTGCTTTGTTATAAAAATTTTAATAGGCTACATTAATTAACTATACTAATAAACATAAAATTAACATATTTTTTTCCTCGTTTATTGTTAACTGATTTCTAATAATAATTTCTACAGGTACCACGTTATATAATTACTCTTCACGAAATACTCGCCCTAACCCCTCACAACCACGTAGAGAGGAAAAGCCTGGAAAATGCAAGAATCAAATTAGAAGAACTTTCAAGGGTTTGTGTTTATCTCTGTCGTTCCAATTTCTATATATATTTTTTTATATTTAGGGTCAGTGTTTTCTAATGAAAAAATCATTATATTTTTTGCTCATGCGAAATTCAAAATAAGAACGAATTATAACAAAAACCAACTGGTGATTAAATAACTGGTCAAAACAATATATATATTTATTTATATTGAAAAGTTAGAATTATGGAGAAATTTCTTTATATTAGCAATAATTATTTTAAAAATTATAACAACAAAAATTGAATGAATGTTATAGATTGCTTATAGTATATTCATAAACTTGTAAATTGAATGTACGACTTACAAAGATATATACTGATGTATCATGGGTACATGAATAGATTGGTAGCGAAGAAAAATAACTGTGATATCAAAAAATGGCAGCACCTTTTGTGACATTATATTCTAGATTGTGAAAAATTCATTTTGTCTAGAACATTGTAAACAGACATGGATGGCTGCTTTGATCACGAGTTGCACAAGACTGAAACAAAATGGCGAATGTAAAAACGGTTTTCCTTATTTTGCATGTACTGACCTATTCTAGTTAATTAACATTGAAGCTTTATTAATAATTATACAGATTATTGTTGTAAATGTTGTGTATTAAGAGTGAAACGTTAGTAACAAAACAGTGAAAGTGGTTGATACATTGTCACGATTGTTATGGCAAATGAGTACGGCTTGGTTGTTTTCACTTTAAGTGATCATTTTGTTTACTTTCTGTCCAAGCAGCAAATGCATGACGAAGTGAGTGAAACGGAAAACATACGGAAGAACTTGGCCATAGAGAGAATGATTACCGGTGGTTGTGATATACTTCTGGATGTTAACCAGGTTTTCATCCGTCAAGGTAAACTGTCACATTTCTATGTAACAGCATCTATTTCTTCGGTGTTGGGTCTAAGCTTCAACAACAATAAAATTACTAATCGTATTATTCTGTTTGTTTTCGGGTATTCGCGTTAGCAGTTTTTAATTTTCACTCGATAGACAAGAGGGGAAGCAACTAGTCAATAGTATCCGCAACCTACTGTTGTCTGACCATTTCTATTAAAACGCATCCACCTCCCTCGTATTTTTTGTTCTAATTGACCGCAAACGCTGGATCTGCATATCGAAAGTCTGGTACGCTAACCACTAGGCCACGCTCTGGTGTAGTAATCGTAAATATATATTGCAAACATGTCATGCTTTGAATTTACGTACATTAGATATCATATTATTATTATGGTAACAAATATTCAACGCTGTTAGTAACAATCTTTAACGCAACTGATTCAAAAATAGATTAGTCCTAATAATTATGTTGCAATGTTTTTGTAGTTCATTTTGAAACAAAAACCTTTGTCGGTTGGCAACGTAGCCTATGTATAGTGTTCTTTAGGAAATACAGTCTTGACCAAACTACTTGCATATTGTTCTATATCGATGTTATTGTCTACATGTATGGAATATTTATTGAGTAAATTCTCGAGTAGTAATAGAGAAGGTAGCATATGATTGGGCAAACATGTACGATTTGTTATTCTAGTCTGTATAAGTTGTTTTGAGCATTTGTTCGTCAAAACACACATACACACCTGTTTTGTATAAAAGGGTGTGATTTTGGTATAATCTTTTTCGAAACAGATCAACGCTTTGTTCAGATAATTTCTCTGTACTTGGTGTAGAGTCATGCCACGTCACGTGCCATAAGTTATATGACATCAATATGTTCGACTCTCCATAAATGGTATGAATCAAACGGACATTGCCAGAACAGTAGTTTACCTCCAGTATACTGCATTCAGAATCCCAAAACGTCATCGGACTACAGGAAAGTCCACTGGTAGACGATAAAACATTACTGCCCGAAATGACTGTGTTTTGATCAGGTTAACACGTCAAGGTTAAAAGAAGTCTTGCAACACATTACGATAGGAATGACATGAACACACTCATACCAGGATATTGTCAGGGTTTTGTATATGTAGGCTGGGATTCTTTTACGGCAGGTCTGTGACTTGTTTTGCGATAAATTCGAACAATAAATGGACAGCACACAATCCAATTATTCTAAAATAATATATTCAAAACAAGTCAAACGTATGTATAAAAATTCTTTACACTATGGAATATCACAATTGTATCTAAAACTTTAAATAATTCTATTTTCTTGTCAAAGTCCACACAGGCTGGTTCAGTAACTTTAGAATACAATTCACAAGACGAATTATTTTTCTCTACTTTGTTTCTTACTATATACTCTATGATAAATTCACTCATGTTACTCCATGGGTTACCACAGTTGCATCCAAAACTTCAAATACTTGTCTCCTTTCGTCAAAGTCCACACAGGCGGGTTCAACTACTTTAGAACACCCTTTGACAACACAAATTTTTCTATTATTACAATAGCACTGTGAAACTCAAATTAAATATTGCCCGTTACAGCTAAACTTGACAATCACGCAGTCTTAACGTTTTCTGACTTAACTTTTTCTAACCTCACTTCTTTTGATGGTTACCACAGTTGGATCCAGAGCTATAAATAATTCTCATTTTTTTGTCAAAAGTCCACACAGACTGGTTCAGTTACTTTAGAAACTAAATGACATTATATAAATCACCCATTAAGGCTAATCACTCACATGCCAGCTAACTTCACGTTTTCTTTCACTAACTAACTATTTTCTGACTGAACTTAACTTGCGTTCACTTGGTCACCTATATATATGCATACATTTTCTAACTGAGGCCTAGAACTTTCTACAAACTAGAAGACGCTATGATGAAACAATACTCACTTAAGGCAACCAGAAAAGTACAGAAGGTTCGAGTAATGTGACGTCAGTTTATAACAACTGAACTACACACACAACGTACGACTCTTACTACGTAACGAAATTTGTCATAACTATCGCTTTTAAAATAATTAACTTAAAGCATTCTTGTTATGAAAACTAAATAATCAGTCACTAAATGAAATAAATAATAACTCTTACACTAAACAGTCTTCCATATCAAACAGATATACAGAAGAACAGTGAATAGGAGACTGACTAAACAAGGTTATTTTGCAAGAGAGGCTATCTGCAAACCGGTATTAACTAGAATTCACTACCGTCACTGTGTTACTTGGGCAAGACAGCATGCCAACTTATAGTTAGTACACACTTGAGTCCTGTTTCCAGCTTTTTAAAGCTGATGGTAGGATTCATGTTAGTCATTTGCCTGGATAACAGATGATTGAAGACTGTCTTTCCTACAGAGAACATACAGGAGGTGGTGCAATACATGTTTGGGCAGCTATTCATCATGATGAAAACTGCTCTTCATACCCTCCAGGAAAACTTCAATGTTGCCTCCTACAGGCATCACATGGAGACGATATATCTTCCATATGCTAGGGCAAGGTTTGAAAACAACTTTGTGTTCAAGGATGACAATGCGATCACCCACAGTACGCATATTGTACATCATTATCTCCGGCATACAAGATTGCCATGGCCAGCAAAGTCTTCAGATTGTAATCCCATTGAGAACTGTTGGGCAGAACTGAGCCGGTAAATGACTAACAACGACCCTAAACCAGCTACTGTAACGTTTTCTTGTGACAAATTCAGATGAAATCACGGTGGATTACATCAATAACCTCATCGACAGCATTTCACATCGACATGAGGAGGTTATTAGAGTACGAGGAGGACCAACCAAATATTAAATGTTTAATATGAACTGATATAAGGTTACAGGCGCTATATATAATAATTTGATGTTATATTTTGTCATTATATATGTTTTCGTAAAGTTTGTTGTGATAGGTGAAATGCTCAATTACACATCTTTGTACAGGTGTCTGATAAATTTGTTTGCTGTTCTAATAAATTGTTCACGTGTCTATAGAACCTGTCCTATGATACAAATTACATATATAGATGTTTAATATAACATGTATTTCTCAGTTTGACAGCACTAAGTGTATTTGTCTTCCATCTTAATAATAATGATCATATTTGGTACAAAATATGCAAACATTTTGGTCAAGACTAGTCTTTGTTTGTTGTTAAGCGCAAAGCTATACAATGGATTATCTGTACTGTACCCACCATGGGTATCGAAAACTTATTTTTAACGTTATTAGTCCCAACAATGTAAGTAAGTAAAAACCTTTGGCAGATTTATTTCTAGTTATTTTATATATATATCGAATTACTTTCGTCGAAAATACAAAATTGAAGTCAATGTAAAAGTTTTTTCATCAGTCTCTAGTAAATAAAGAATATAGTTATAAACGCTAGAATAAAAAAAAACGTGACAGATTGTTCAGGTACAGAGAATCAGACAGAATATTTAGAATCAGAAATGTTGTTGCAAAAAAACAAAAATCACTCAGCGCTCTTTGGAGTCGGCCCAGCATGGCCAGGTGGTTAAGGCACTCGACTCGCAATCTGAGGGTCCCGGGTTCGAATCC